GTGTACGATCCTCTGCCTCCTCTTCCTCCCGATTGGACGCTCGTTATTCCCGCCGATGCTTCCGCTGCTCCTCCGCCTCCAACTCCCGCTCCCTAGCCACTGTGTTTGTTCTCTTCAACCCTAACATGCTTCCTGCTACTATTCATATATCTATATCTGCTTCTATTTCATGTTCACGTCTCAAATCTCCGATTCGCCGTTTGTTTTCGATGAATTTTTAGCTGTGATGAATTGTTTCGCCAACTACTTCGTTATGTCAATTCGATTAAATTTCGATTGTAGGCTCGTCTTCTAGCTTTGATTTTCTTGTTCTTGTTTTTTATACACAAATTTTTTCGAAATTTTATACTCTCGTTTAATCATCTCAGAGATGACTTTGACTGGTTGAGATTGCCAAATTTAAAGAGTAAATTAAAATTATACTCTGAAATTTGGTTTTTAAATAATTAAGAGGATTAGTATGAGAGTAAAATATCAGGAAAGTCAGTGCAATCTCACCAAATATCATAAATGTTATGTAATCTATTTAAATTTATATTATAGTAACACTATTTAACTTGGAATAAATAATATATGGATAAACAATGTGCACTGCTAATCAATTGTAAATTAAATTTAGAATAATTTTTCTGGTTGATTTTTATAATAAGTATATTAAATCTATATTTTAGTCCTTATATATGCTACGGATATAAAAAAATTAAACTTAGAATAAGCTTTATCTCTCCATATTAGTTATATCCTATTCGAATAGAACTGTCACATGATGTCTATAAAAAATTATTTGTTTTATCAGTTTTTCAGAAATTAAACAACAATTGATTTTAAAATTATAAATGACTCTAAACATGCTGCTAGAGTGCTAGATATCTCAGCCGATGATTTATTTATTTATTTTTATCAGCGGACGATATTTCGAAAGTCTCTTCATTTGTTGGCGTTTCAATGATTTATTTGCCAAAGGCCCAATCGGAATAAGTCATTGCTGGTTAGTGTTTAACAATTATGAAAGGAAGTAGATGTGGGGATAAAATTTTGATATTTAGGTCTCTTTATAAACTTACGATGAATTTATTTATATTTATTTTGTACTAAAAGTACTTACGAGTGTTTAAAAAAATTAATAAAATATTTTATAAGTAATTTATAAGATGTGTTGAACTTATTTTTACAAGTTATTTAAAATAGCATATCACTCAACTCATGCTAAAACTTATAAAAAATACGATGTTTGAATTTTGAATAGCTTTATTTTTATTTTTTTATTCCTCAATCAAAAATTGAATTGTATAATTTGATTTTGTTCTTCCTCCCAAAGATTTTCGAGCCTCTTTATTTTCTGTTCTCTCCCTCCATTTTTTTTTTTTACATTTTTATTGATATATATACAAATTTTTTAATCATGGTTTTACGATATGTATAAAATTGATTTTAAATTTTTCAAATGTATGATTTATAAATTTTAATCATGATTATATACATAAATGTGTTTTTAGTTTTGATTATTAACTCTTGTTTTTATTAACTAAAATTAGGTGAATGTTAATTAGTAATTTTTTAATAATATTATGATATATAATATTATTTTTAAGAATTATTTAATTACTCTTTTAAAAATATTTTATTTTATTTTCAGTCATGATTTAATTATTATTTTTTAATTTCCTCCCGATTGGACGCTCGTTATTCCCGCCGATGCTTCCGCTGCTCCTCCGCCTCCAACTCCCGCTCCCTAGCCACTGTGTTTGTTCTCTTCAACCCTAACATGCTTCCTGCTACTATTCATATATCTATATCTGCTTCTATTTCATGTTCACGTCTCAAATCTCCGATTCGCCGTTTGTTTTCGATGAATTTTTAGCTGTGATGAATTGTTTCGCCAACTACTTCGTTATGTCAATTCGATTAAATTTCGATTGTAGGCTCGTCTTCTAGCTTTGATTTTCTTGTTCTTGTTTTTTATACACAACCACGGGTCTCACATCTAGCCGATATAAACGTCAGTGAAAGACAATATAGAGATATTTAAAGGTTTTTAATTAAATTAGATTTTTATCTCTATAGTTTGTGCTCACTTTTATTACTTTACTTTTACGTTAGTTTAAATTATTCAAATATTTTTTAAAATAAAACAATACAAAAAATACTTTAAATAGTAAAAGCAAATTAGCATAACAATGCAACAGCCAATGTAGACTTACATGTATCCTCTCCATTATGGCATTATGCCATTATTTGATAGTTCTCACATGAATCAGAGTAAGTGTCCTTTTCATTATTGGATAGTTTCCTTAAGGCTATGTAACAATTAACAAACAGAAGAAATAGCATAGAAATAAAGAGAAGAGGAATGAAATAGGCAAGAAATAAAAATTAAAATTGTTTGTTTCGTGCAAAATTTATCAGCAAGGAAATAAAAAAGTGAGTTTATAATTAGCATGAAAATGAACAGTAAAAACTTAAAAATTATATATATTCGAATAAATATTACACACGATCAAATAACATGTTACGTTACACTTTTATTTATTTGAATAAATTAAGTTTTATTCGAGTACGTTTTTGAAACCATTCGAATACAAATTATTTAATTTGAATAGAAATTTTTTGATTCGAATATATATATATATATATATATTATTTCTGATTTTATTTTATTTTTTATTTATTTATTTCTCTTTATTTTATTTTATTTTATTTATTTATTTCTCTTTTATCTTTTTTATATATTTTATTTTTCACATATTTCTTTCTATTTTATTTAACATACATAATATTATTTCTCACTTATTTTTTTTTAATCAAACAATCAAATTTTTATTTTATTTCTTACATATTTTTACTCATCTATTTCTCTCTGCTTTATTTTTCATCCATTTATTTCTTCTCTACTACCAAACACACAGTAAGAGAGTGATACACAAAAGAAATAATTTAATAATAAAAAATTAAATACTCATCTCTTCTTTATACTATCTCTCCTACTACTGTACACCGAAAAAGATCGTACTCAGACTCACCTATTTTTAGCCTACCAATTGTTAATCGGTCTCACGATCCAGCCCAAGAGTAAGGAAGAGAAATTTAGAATGAGAAAATGGGCTTAGTTAGGCCCAAATGAAACGCTCAAAAACCAGTTTCACTAATAGAGTATATGTTCTTTTGTTTTGATTAATCTTTTTAAGGTAGGATGATACACTTGAATGGTTATAATTAAAAACATATTTTCTCCCCGAAAATCAATGAAACCCTTATTTAGGATGAAAGAAATTGAAAAGGAAAATAAAAAATGATTATTGGTACTTAGCACAGTAGTGATGAAAATTGGTATTATAGATTTGGGGGAATAAATATTAAATAGAGGAAGTGATGTCTGAAGGCGACGGTTCCTGGTCTCTTTGCAATCCCAACTTCCGAAGGCGTATCTGAAAGTTGATGGTGGCGGCCAGCAGCTGCACCGTCTGCGGCGGAGACAGTATCGGCACGAGCTTCCTCATGGTGGAGGCGCGAAGCTCATCGGCTCTCTGGGAAAGCTTCTTGAGCGCCTCCTTGAAACAGTGAATGGCCGCTTCCTGCTCCTGCTCCTGCCCCACCATGCGCGGGCTGGCCATGCTCTCCTGAACCGACGCCATTGCCTCAGACACCTCCCTCTCCGCTCTCTTCGTCTCCTCCCTCACACGCTCCACCCCCTCCCTCTGCTCCGCCGTCAACCCCTCCACGCCGCCCTCTAGTAGACGGACTATCAACGACGCCTTGTAGTCCCCGATCCAGAGGAGCGCCCTCTCGTACGCCGACAGCCATGGCGCCGAGAAGAGGAGGAAGACGTCAGCGTTTGCCAACCTCGCTTTCTCTTCCAGAAACTGCTGGTAGTCACACAGAACTTGCTCGATTACGCTTTTCTGTTGCTCCTCGCTCTCAGCGCTGAGAAGCCGCGGCAACAACGCCAGCAACTTCTCTTGACGCTGAACCCATCCCTCGTGGAACCCTTCGAACGACTCAAGAGAACTCGCTAACATTCTGATTACGCTTTCCGAATTCAGATTGCGCCAATTTATACTGTGGACTGCGGGAGCACTCTTAGCAGGTAAGGGTGGTTTGGACATTTTTAAATCTATTAATTAACAGCGCCTTTTTGTCTTTTTTCTTCTTTTTTTTTTGTTTATTTATTTATATTTAATTGGAGAATAAATTTTCTTAGCTGGTAAGGATTTTGCCGCTGGTTTTTCGAGAGATACGAGGATCAAAGCGCTGTAACTGTCTGTATAAGTAAGTGTAAGGATGATTGGTTTCTCAATGGCGGTGGGAGTCAACGGTCTCTGTCAAGGTCATGCCACGTCTTTCAAGGCAATGTTTTTATCATCTTTTTTATTCTTCTTTATTAACTGTTTTCACATTTTATAAACAAAGTTATGAAAAAAATATATAATTTATGAAGGATGATGTTTCTAATGATGTATGCACCGATTATGTGTTATTTTGCAAGGTTGTTAATATAACTTTTATACTTTTTTAATGCGTGTTAAATTTTATACCAGTTATTATTATAAAAATGTACATTTAAGATAATTTATAATAGTATTTTTTTTAGAATTAACCACATAGTATAAATTTTTTTTATATTAATAATTAATCATATTTTTTTAGTAGTGTTATGTCATTTATTTATTTAATCAAATTAAAAAAAAAATTAATTAGAAGGGTTGAAAATCTGACCCAAACGGGCCTAAAGAGGAAAAGAACTTTTGGCCCTCCAGTGACCCCAATGGATGCCTTTGTTTTAAAGTTCTGAAGTTTTGAACGAGTGGTTGTACGTGTAGCAGTTACAAGAGAGTTCATGCGTGAATGAGGCCTGAATTGTTTATCAGCTTTTTCGCTACGTTGAGGCGGTGGCTCGTTTGATTAAGAGGAGTTGATATCCTTCTTCATCCATTACTTATAAATAATTTATATTATATTTTTCTAATTTTTATTCTAATAAAAATTGTTTATACTATACTTTTTTTTTTACTTATACTATGCTTTTTGTTTCAATGGGAATTTCCATAATAATATAGGCTGTTTTCACGAAATAATTTCACAAAATAAGAATCGTTACTTCATCAAGCATCGGGAGAAATTATTCTTTTTAACTTTGATACTACATCACTCAACTTCAACGAGACTTCTAGTAAACTACGACAAGCAATAATTCAAACAATTTCCGTTAGAGTTGCTCTAGCGCAAACTTTCTGGTTACGGAGGAAAATTCGAACTTAGAAGAGTGTTCTAGCAATTATTTTTCTCAAGCTTGAAGTTAATGTTTTTGTGGCCAGACAAGATTGGGCTGTCATGCCCCTATTCTTACTTCATTTTAGAGCCCACTAATTTGGCAAGTTGTCATATGTCATATTGGATCAAATTCAGTGTTAGGTGTTAATCTACTCCAGCTCGTATCCCTCAGGATTTTGACACACAAATGAACGCGCTGCAATGGTCCTGAATCCAATGATTCTATCTTTTACATTGCATGTATTTATTATCTATATATATCTGGCACTACCACTAGTTGCATATGTCAGTTGTTTTATCTGATCCACACTGGCATCGCAAGAAAAAAATTTCTACCTCTATGCCCTTCTTAAAATCATTCATAATTCATTGTATGATTTTTGAAAGGAAAATTATGGAGTACGTCTAATATTATTTTTTATTGTAATTATTTATTTTTATTTTTATTTTAATTTAATATTTTTAAATTTATTTATTCACAATTTGAGGTATCAAAATCCGTATTTTCATTATATTTACTTTACGTGTCCGTAAACACATCCAGTTTAACTTGACATGTGTTCTATAGAAGGGTAAGGTTGTCATTGGACAATCCTAACTAAAAGTAACGGTGGATTGGGAGAAGGAAAACGAGGGAAAGCAGTTAAAGAAACGGTTGGTGTCGAAAGGAAAGAAGAGGGATCCGTAAATTCCTTCCCATTGACACAGTCTCACTCTCTCTCTCTCTCTCTCCGGGTCTTGCGCGATGCCCTATGGAAACGCTCACACGCGAGATTGCGAACAAGCTAGAGAGGGAAACAGAAAGGGGCTGGGAAGTTGGAACAGTGTTGAGACACAATGGCGAATCCCGAAACCCAACGTCACCGCACACGCCGAAACCGCCGCTCCAAACCCCGGCCGCCGGCGGGAAAGGATAGGGTTCCGCTGAAGCTGCTGCTGCGGGTGGCGTCGGTTGCCGGTGGCATTCAGTTTGGCTGGGCCCTGCAGCTCTCTCTTCTCACGCCCTACGTGCAGCAGCTCGGGATCCCGCACGTGTGGGCCAGCATCATATGGCTCTGTGGGCCTCTCTCTGGGCTCCTCGTCCAGCCCCTTGTGGGCCACTTGAGCGACCGCTGCACCAGCCGCTTCGGCCGCCGGAGGCCCTTTATTTTGGGCGGAGCATTGGCGATCATCGTCTCTGTTCTAATCATCGGTCACTCCGCCGACATTGGGTGGTGGTTCGGCGACACCACCAAACATCGCCCCTGGGCTGTGGGCGTTTTTATTTTCGGCTTTTGGATTTTGGACGTCGCTAACAACGTCACTCAGGGCCCTTGTAGAGCTTTGCTTGGTGATCTCACTTGTAAGTTTCTCCTCCCTGTCAATTTCCCTTTCTAGTTAACCTTTCATCCTTAAATATTAATTGCATGTTTGTTTTTTTCCTCCCATTATAATTCTCTGAGTATAAGTAGGCTTTCATATTCAGTTTGGCACCAACATGGTTGTTATTTAGAGTGATTATTATTATTAAAGTAACTTGTCAAGGAAACACTTTAAATCTACTAAATCCATGAGCTAACTATAATGGCTACTTATTACATTAAATTGGGCACTAGGTCTCCCAATTTTCAGCGTATTAAATTCTGTGACACAGTTGTAGATGAAAATTTGGGGTCTGTTAGATAAACTTTCCACAAAAAAAGAA